GTTGTCCAGTAGCACCATTAGTGCTCGACGCACACCGTCCACTTGCGCCTCGAACTCGTTTATAGTATTCTTGAACTCCCGCAGTTTCTCGAGTTCTCGTGCGTTCAACCCTCCTTGCATCAGCCCGTCCAGAGCACTGACAACGACGGGAGATAACTGGCCGAACTGATCCTGAAAGTAGCGCGAAAGCGTTGCTAGTAAGGCTTCGACGGCTCTGATAAAAGGTCGCAATATTTAGTCTCAAGCGTGGTCCTCCAGGTCGATTAATCTAACCTGAATTCAAACGGAGCGTCATCTTCACGCGCAGTTTCAGCGAATTTCGTCTTCAAGACGGACAAGAGGGTATCTGCTCCGTCTGGAACATACACGAGGCACACATCTCGCATCACAATGGCGCGCAATGGATCTATAAACCAGCAGAAACTTGTGAGGGAGCTGTGCTCCGTGTAGCAATTGTTCAGTTCTTACCAGCACTGATCAGGATTGCTTGCTTGCGAGTGACAATTCGAGGCTTATTCGTCACCGAGAACGCGTTCTCCATCTTGCGAATATCACGCGAGTGAACGCGCTGGTACGTGAAGTTAGACAGTGCCGAGAACGATGACAGGTACTAGAGTTTCGAAAACAGCGACGCGTTGGAGTAGAACGCTGGTGCCGACAACACTGGCGACAATAACTTGAACGTGACAGCATTGGTCCTGGCAACGCCGGCAGCTTGGGAGAGCGACATCGGGGCTGGACTTGAAAGCGACCGCATTACTCGTAGCAACGCCGACGACATAGAGCTGGTAGCGTTGACACCGATAACACAGACAACTCGCTGCGGAAACAGGTGGAATCCTTTATGGATACCAAGCTGAGTATTGTCGCAGGGTCCGCGATGCCGTTGCAGCGGCCCAAGATAAACAAAAGGAGTAATCAGACAAACATGGAAGAGGGAACTTAAGTATATTTGAGGTTGGTGACTTAGTGTTGCTAGACACGAGGAACCTACCGTTTGACACTGTCAGCTCTGTCGGCAGCAACGAGCTGAAGCACCGCTTCATCGGATCATTCGCAGTCCTGGCCAGACATGGTGCGTCGTACACCATCGACCTGCCAGAGTCAATGCCGACGCACCCGACGTTCTATGTTGGACGTCTTAAGCGGGACTTTGACCCGCAGGGGGTTGCTGACTCGCAGACCCCCTTGCCCCAGCTCCTCGAAGCGAGGGCCGGTCACAGTCGTCGATGAGGGCGTCGGAGCAGGCACCAAAGCCTCGGTCGGGACGACAAGGCTGCGGTCAAGACCGTACGCCGGAGGGCTCCATACGAACGGACCCCGGCGCCATACTCCGAGTACGCTGAAAACGCCGGGTACGCTACATACGCGTACGTCTGGGAGTGTGCCGCAGGCGGCTCCGGACGTGGCAACAAAGCCTCGATCCGTCGGAGCATGCGAAAGGCCTCGTCCAGATCGGACGAAGAGGCCCGGCGGTCCACCCGCAGGTGCAGGCTCGCGACCTCTCGCTCCACCAGGTCCTTGCCACTCGTATTTTGCGTCAGTTGTTCGCCAAAAAACGTGCAGTTTGTCAGTATCCGCGACGATGACAGTATCAGCTTTTCACCTGAAGAAAAAGTTGCTGTGGAGTCACAGCAAATGCAGCAGTTGCCGGAGATATCTCAAGTATGCGACTTACTCCTTCATCCACTTCTAAACCACTCGCAGCAGATTGAAGAGCGGCCCATGGCAAGGACTGTAAACCCGGATCTGCACAAACCGCACTTGATATCAATTCTTGGAGTTCTCACGAAGAAAAAGTACTATTGGCGCTCTAACGGCCAACAAGGAGTCAAGCGTGTCCGACAAGGTGATAGCATTACTCAAACCTCCAGCCGGAAGTTAGCTTGTATCCTCTATGTTCGCGATCTCCAACACCCGGATACTATTGAGATTCGAGTGGACACGTCGCTCTTCGGTTTGCTAGGCGCGTTGCAGGTGAATTGTGTCGTGGAGCTCACTCGCCTCCAAGGGTTTATAGCTCGCTCAAGCTTCAAGGTTTATCTAAGTTGGATTCACCTTACTGCAGCACGAATTGTACCGACTTTGTCGGTGCCACGAGACGCGCAACTTTTCGGTTTGATGTCGACCAAGCTCCTAAACGACCTGTACTATTCTGCAAATGTTGACCGAATGTTGCATCGATTTGTGGTTGGCGTGGTGCACATAAGTTACGTCGTGCTAAAGCGAAAATGTGGCTTGTGTCATCAGGCATTGGAGTTCAATAAGCGTCGCGCGGTCTGGAAACATACAGAGCAAACGCAAGCGAAATATTCGCGAGTTTGTGTGCGAAAGTGGCAGCAAATAACTTCATCTGATTCTGTGTTCAAGACGCATACATATATGGGTGCAACAGTGCGTTGTGTCATTGACGACGGCTCTGGCCAGGCTGAGTTATTTGCGCAGAATGATGTTGCGTGGGAGTTGCTTACGTGCACTGCCGGTCAACGTCAACGGTTTGAGGATATTCTTAGCAACTACGTCGAGGAACTGAGTTATTTCTCCGGACGCACAGCGAACGGGATCATTTGCGACTAGCAAAGCGGAGCGGGAGCAGGATACTAACCAAAACGGACTTGCGATCCTTCCGTTTGGAGGGCAATCCCGTCCGTGAGATCAATCGTAGGTTTTTGCTCACCGATTCTATAGGGTAGATGAAAAAGAAAGGGCGTCTGTGCTGACTTCGGGAAAGGTAGTCCACTTTCAGAACCAGACAGGTCCTGATCCGAGCTGGAAGGCCAAGCGCGTAGAACCGACTCGGCCGTTCCGAAATGAACTTG